TGTCCCTCTCAATTAGGACTCTCCTAGCTAGAGTCCTAACACGGACCTGAGGAGCGGTACCCGCCAATTGAGAAACTTGTTCTGGCGCTCGTGCTGACAGCTCGAAAGCTGCGCCCCTACTTTCAAGCCCATCCTATCGAGGTAATCACCGATCGGTCGCTCCGCCAGGTTTTATCTAAATTCGACGTTGCAAGTCGGCTCCTCAAATGGTCGGTGGAACTTGGCGAGTTCGACATACAATTCGTCCCGAGGACCGCCATCAAAGCCTAATTCGTAGCCGATTTCATATCGGAACTGGCTCAAATTGAGGAAGAGGGTCCTGAGCAGCTCGGGGAGTCATGGGCTCTGCACGTGGACGGATCGGCTACCTCGAGAGGTGCGGGGCTGGTGCTATTAGCTCCCGACGGTCGCTCGTTCGAACACTCACTCCACTTCGGGTTCCCGACTACCAACAACGAGGCCGAATATGAGGTGCTACTGGCCGGACTCAGGCTGGCCCTCGAGATGCATGTGAAGTCCATTCACGTCCTCACCGATTCGCAACTGGTGGCCGAGCAACTCGGCGGCGGATACGAGGCCAGAGAACCTACCATGGCAAAGTACCTTGCAGAGGTAAAAAGCCTAGCCTCTCACTTCTCTCGCTTTTTGATATCCAGGGTGCCGAGGACCCAAAACCAACGAGCTGATGAGCTGGCCAAACTGGCCTCAAGGTCTGAACTCGAGGTCCAGCCCAAGATCGAGTTGCTCCCTTCCCGAGCCATCTCGACCTTGGCAGTGGCTCCGATTGACGGGCAAACTACGTGGGTACAGGAGATGTTACGCTTCAAGCGGGACGGGATCCTCCCCACTAACGAGGCCACGGCTCGTCGCATGCGCCGTGTGCAATCTTGGTACTCCGAGGTGAATGGATGGCTCTATAAGAGGTCCTTCTCATACCCCCTCCTACGGTGCCTCGAACCCGAGGAGGCTCGGTCGGTTCTGGTCGAGGTCCACGAAGGAATTTGCGGGGAACACATCGATGGGCGAACCTTGGCGTACAAAATCCTCCGCCAGGGGTACTATTGGCCCACCATATCCAGAGACGCGAGACATTACATGCTACGGTGTGTCTCGTGCCAAAGGCATGCCCGCACGCCCCGGCAGCTTGCGGTTCCACTCGCCCCTATTGACAGTGCGTGGCCATTCGCGCAATGGGGGTTGGACCTACTCGGGCCTTTTCCCCCAGCCTCGGGACAGCGACGATACATTGTCGTGGGGGTGGACTACTTCACGAAGTGGGTTGAGGCCGAGCCGTTAGCAACGATCACGGAACACCAAGTGGAAAAAATTGTGTGGAAAAATATCATAACTCGGTTTGGCCTGCCAAAGACCATCATCACCGACAACGGCACCCAGTTCGCCAGCGCGCGATTCCAGGAGTTCTGTGCGAACTACAAGATACGATTGAGGTACAGCTCGGTAGCACACCCCCAGACGAATGGCCTAGTAGAGGTGACCAACCGTTTCATCCTAAGCGGGCTGAGAAGAAGGGTGTCTAGGGCCCGAGCGGCTTGGGCGGACGAGCTCCTAAGCATTTTGTGGTCCTTGTGGACCACCCCCAAAACCGCGACCGGAGAATCTCCCTACAGCCTCGCGTTCGGAACCGAGGCCGTCCTGCCACCGGAGGTGGTCTTCCCCACGATTCGAACCGAGAACTATGACGAGGGGACGTCATATCAAGGATTACTCGCCGGTCTTGACTTCCTCGAGGAACGGCACGCGGATGTGCATTTGAAAGACCTCTCCTACAAGAGAGCCGTCGCCAGGATCTACAACCGCAGGGTACGACCCCGACCGATCAAATTAGGTGATCTAGTCCTACGCAAGGTCGAGGTCAGCGAGCCGACCCGAGCGCGCAGTAAGCTCGCTCCCAATTGGGAGGGACCCTATCGGGTTAGCAGCGTCGTCAGGGACGGCACGTATCGGCTCGCAACCATGCAAGGTTGCGTTCTGCCGAGAACGTGGAACGTGCAAAACCTTAGGAAGTTTTATGTATAGTTGGAGACAAAACGGTCAAAACAGAAACCTGAAACAAAAACCTTTTATTCCGAATAAAAGCCAGGTTACAGGGTCGGGCAAAATACAAGCGTCAACCGACGCCAGACCAATCCCCTAAGAGACCGTTATAGCCTTATATCCTATCCTTTGGGGGCTTCAGAGCTGTCGTCGAAGGGGACTTCATCTGGCATGTCGACGCTTGCGTCTTCGGGGCAGGAGGCAAAGGGGTTTTCTTCGACCTCCGAACCGGGGTGGCGCGCCTTGAAGCGGGCCAGGGCGACCCGGTACCCGCATTCGTACGTGATCTGCCCCGACCGGACCAAGCCGAGCTGAAAGCCCGAGGACTCTTTATAGTCCTCGATCAGCTTCTTGTCCCTCTCCGGACGCTGCTGCATCTCGGCAGCCAGAGCTTCAGAAGCCCTCTTCGCCTCGGCACGCGCCTCCTCCAACTTCTGAGTGAGGGCAACCGCCTCTTTATTGGCCAAACGAACCTCGGTCCGTGCCGTCCTCAGGAACGCTTGGAGATCATTATTCCTCTCCTCCGCCACTTTTACCTCGGATTTCAGGCGGGTCCCCTCGGCCTCCAAATCCGAGGCACGCTGCTCGGCAGCCTGTACCTCGGACTTGAGTCGCGTGACCTCCGCCTCCAGATCCGAGGCACGCTGCTCGGCTGTCGCGACCGCCTCCGAGGCCGCCTCCGCGTGCACCTCCTCTATTTGCCTTCGCAGCTTGACGTTACGGTCGATCAAAACACCGAGTGCCCGACCTGCGTCACGCACGCGATCCATCAACGCTGGTGCATAATGCTGACGCTGCAAAGAAGTAGAGTCAGGACAACTGTGGCCCAGGTACAAAAAGGAACCCAATAACAAGGTACTTACCCACAGCAGGGACTTTGCAGACTTGCTCAGCAAAACATCCGAGGGCAGGACATACAGTTCCCGAGCCATATCGGGATGGAGCCCCCCTCGGACAAATAAGGCCGCAGCCTCCCCGTCAGCCCATACCCGGTCCCCGCGGGTCAGGCCCGTCCATCGGGCCGCCAACGGGTCGGAGGGTTGGCCCTCCGGAAGTTCGCCCATGGCCCGAGCTAGGTAAGGTTCGCCCGGTGCTCCCGAAGGGAGGCGACACAAATCGCGGATGGACGACTCCTGAGGCGCCTTCCCTGTCGCCTCCCTACTCGGGCCGGCCTCGCCCTGAACGAGGTCCCGTCGCCGGTCGCACCCGACGTGCTTGGTCGCTCCATCCTCCGGCTGCGCCGACGGCATGCTCGGTTTTCTTTTGATACCGGTCTTCGCCTTCTTTTGAGGTCGACCGACCTCAAGTTGAACCGGCGCCTCCCTCGAGCCAACCCTCGGCTCGGCCAATCGACACGGCCGACGAGGAAGGCCCCCCACGCACGGCGACGAGGTTCACCATTTCTGCATGAAAACACCGACCTCGATCAGAATACCAAGAACGCGATTTCTGGAAAGCCCTAACACTACCCACTACTGGCATACCTCGAGGCATCGGGCTAAGACCCGCCTCGACCAACCACGCCTCGGTCATCCTTCGAATGACTTGGGAGGTCGGGAGTATCTCCTTTAGACGGCGAAGGTCCCTCCGCTCTTCGTCGTTCAGGGTCGGGGCAGTGTTGTCGATCGCGCGCGCGGCCCACCGGAGCCCGAAGCTCTATCCCTCTGGACGATAGACATAAAAGAAGTGCTCCTTCCATCCCTTGTTGCTGGAAGGAGCCCCGCTAACCCAAAAGCCTGGCCGAGCGGACAAATAGTAGCCCCCCGACCCCTTGGAAAGATGAAAACAGGAGAGGAAAAGAGATCGGGTTGGGGTAATATGAGCGTAATGGCACTCCCCCAGGAACGCCACCAAATATCGCTAGGAATTAGGCGCTATCTGCGACGGAGAAAGACGCCACCACGAGATGCAGTAACTTATAACAGGGTGCAGGGGGAGGCGTAAACTCGCCTCAAGGGCGTCTATGGTTAGGGCAAAACCCTTCGGGATAGGGTCGTGTGCTCCTCGGCTGCATGTTGCCCAAGACCGCAATCTCTGCGCGGCTTGCCCGCCTGAGTTGTGCTCCTCGGTTGCATGTTGCCCGAGACCGCAACCTCTGCGCGGCTTGCCCGCCTGAGCTGGGCTCCTCGGCTGCATGTTGCCCGAGACCACGACCTCTGCGCAGCTTGCCCGCCTGAGTTGTGCTCCTCGGCTGCATGCTGCCCGAGACCGCAACCTCTACGCGGCCTGCCCGCCTGAGTCACCCCCCTCGGTCGCACGCTGTCCGAGACCACCGTGGCGTCGGCCCAGTCCTCAAGTATCGAACTCCGTGGTCTCCGCGCCCCCAATGAACGACCGGCAACCGCCCGGTGGGGATAATCTCTTAAAACTGAAGCCATGCCTCGGACCCCCCTCTACGACCGACGCATAGCTCCTTCGGGGGGGAATATGACGAGGGCAATTATGGCGATTGGACTCGGGTGACATCAGCACCCCCGGATGACGCCCCACGCCTCAGCCGACTTGACAGCACCTAGCTAAAACAGACTGGAACGTCGGCCGAGGCACATTAACTTCCTGCACAAGCTCGATACCTTACGCCACGTCTACACCGATGTCATACGCTACCAGGAGTACGATCCTGCTCCTCTCGAGCAGGCACCTCAGACAGGTAACCTTCCTTATAAGAACCCTCTCGTTGAGGAGAAAAGGGAGAGGAAAATTCCTCCACTACCATTGACTGACTTGATCGTCGGAGGGGTCGAGCCGAGACCCCTGACCCGACCTGTCTGCAGGTGCGAAGACGGAGCAACCCCGCTAGACGGCCATCCCAGGAAAGACAACCGTCCCGCCGTCGACCTCGCGTAACGGATCCATCCAACTCGACGGACTCCCGGGCCTCGCAGGAAGATCCCCTCGCATTCCGACCCGAACCGAGCCGTGCCGACCCCGAGGCCCGGCTTAAAGTTGTTGACACCAACAAAACCCTATATTGTCTTACATTCCTAAAGTAATTTCAATAATGAGTGATACCATTTCAGCAAATGCAACCTCAAAAGCAACTCAAAATTGGTTATTTTTAGTATTTTCCTAATAAAAATTATTGGTTTTGTTTACTGTTCGACATGTAGCATCGTAATAATAACTAGGTCACTGTGCATTTATTTGGTCTGTTTAAATTGCTTTTTTTCCTAAAATGCAGAAGACACTTTTCTGGTATTATCTTTTAACTACTTAAGCTCTAAAATTCTATTTGGAGAGCTTGGGAAAATGTTTAGATTGGGGAGCCAGCCTTGCGGGGAGTCAAGTGTGTGTGCCATGAAAATGAAAAGCAGTGTATTTGAAGCAGATCAGTCTCTTGATGCTCATAGCAGGGCCTTGTTGAATATGATCTACAGGACTCAGCATGGACTGTGTTTTATGTGATTTACATTCTTTTTTTATGAATCAAATTTAGCTTTTTTACTTGTGATTTGATCCATTTATTTTGAGAACTATGTGGGATAGATTGCATATATGTTTTGTGGATTAATTTTTACTTTGTATTCGGTGTCTTGACCATGAGGGTGGGCCTTGGTACAACGGTAAGATTGCTCCTTTGTGATCTGGGAGATCAGGATTTAAGTCATGAAAATAATCTCTTTAAATATTTAAACGAAAGATTGCATATATTGATCCTCTCTAGATCCCGCATTGGCGAGAGCTTCATGTACATGCTCTCAGAACTATAAAAAATTTCTTGCAGTTAAGGGTGGAAAGAGTTAAATGAAAATGATGTGGCATTTTCTGCATCAGTCAAATAATCTAACTTGAGGTATAAATTGAAACCTTTGTTGGTGGAGAAAAATT